TTTTTTTTAACCTGATGTGTCGAGACGTAGACATTAATGACTCTAGTTCTAATTAACAAGTGGAATTTGTTTGTAAACATTTATAACCTTCCTTCCATGAACTAGTTGCATAAATCTGAAGAGGCACTATATTAAGGTAGTTAGCCTCTAATTTATTGGATTTGCCCTTTGGATGATAGGGAAATAGTTGCCTCCTTTTGTGAGGATAGTGGTGCAAGAGCTTAGTTTAGGGTTAAGTCCACATATTTTCAGACTTTTAAAATTTTGTTTTATTGGGGGCTTGTATAGCTGTTACCATACATGCATTGTGCCAAGCACACTTGTACATCTGTTGCCATCGTTTTCTTTCTACTTCAGCCCTTGGTATCAGCTCCTCATTTCCCCCTCCTCCCCTTTCATCTCTTTGCAAAGAGATGTGAGAGTCACAGATAGAGGTCTAGATGTGGTTCTCATATAGGGGAACTCGGAGCCGTGGCACCACAGAGGTAAAAGGGCGAGGCTGGAACCGAAAGGGAGAGCAGTGTGGCAGTCCGATTCCGCAAACAAGCACAGCGGGCACGTCTCTGCCCTTCATTATGAGTGGCAATAGACGGTGGTGGCGGCCTGTATGGGAAGCTGTTTTAATCATTTGGGTAGACTGGAAAGGGCAGACAGAGATTAGGCCTAGTGATTTCATTTCTGTGTGAGAGAGCAGCTTAGAAGTAGTTTATTGGGATTTCTTTAAAGAAGTTTTGTGTGTGTGCGCGCGTGCGTGTGTTGACAATGGCAACTATTCCGTCATATAAAATGGAGAATAAATCATAGAATAATAGTCTACTGTTTTAGCTACACTGATAAAGTGAGGGTAAGACATTGTTTCGATGTCTTGTTTCATCAGCTTCTTGTGCCAGTGTGTATAAACTTATGTGAGCTTAAAATCCATTTTCAATCCAGATCACATCGACCAGTATCTGGCTTGCCCTCTGACAGAGTCAGCAGAAGGTGACTCCTCAGGTGTCTTCAGGATGCCTGCGGCACTCGTGGAGAACAGCCAGGTCATCTGTGAAGTCTGGGCCAGCAATCTAGAAGAAGAGATGAGGAAGATCCGAGAAATTGTGCTCAGCTACAGTTACATTGCCATGGTAAAGACCTCTGCTCGGCTCAATTCACCTGCTGCTATGGGCCTAAGGAGGAAGTTTAATAGGAGATTTTGCACTGAAGTCATGTTGAAAGATTGTTTACTTTTATGAAATGTCAAGGTAGCCAGTGTACCTGAGAAAGATGACACTTTATTTAGAATCTTGGATTTTTTGGGTAATATTAGTTCCTGTTCAAAAGTTTTAAAAACAGGAGTTATAATAGGCTATAGGGCACTCCTTCCCCTTAGAAATGGTGAATGCAGCTGTAGAGTGGTAAACATTAAAAAAAAATTGACAGCATTTAAAAATCACGGGACTTCACTTGAATTCCAGCTTTCTGGCCACTTTCACAGGGGCCCACACTCCTGCCTGGCACCCCGTGGCTGGAGAGGGAGGTGCTCCTGTCTCCTTCCTCGTTACCTTCGCCGCCACCAGCCTGCTTACTCCTCTCCCTTAGCTGCCTCGAGCTCGGGACTCCTGCTGTTGAGACTGGACAGTGGAGCTGGGAGCTAGCTGGGAGCTAGCTCACCGTGACCTTATCCCAGTGTTTTTCCTCAAGCCAGATGCATGTTTGTTTGTTTCCTTTTCTGAATCACCGCAGTCATTTCCTGTACTGGTGTTTTTATTTATATCCTGTTCTCAACTTAGAATGTTCGTAAGTGTTGGAGGGGCCCACCTGTAGCTATCCAGGCTACTCCGAGTCACCACCAGCCTCAGGCTCTAGGTTGTTGTGGTAAGCGCCATGACCCTGGTGCTCCCTCAGTGGCTAGCAACGAGACCAATATAAGATAGCTTTTGTGCCCAGAATGGAGGCTTGTTGCATAACTTGCATTGAAGTAAAAACTTTATCATGCATTACCAATTCAACATCTATTGCTTTCTGAAACCTTATGATGAAAGACGTTTGCATTTTCCAGGACACAGAATTTCCAGGTGTTGTGGTTCGACCAATCGGTGAATTTCGAAGTTCTATAGACTACCAGTATCAGCTTCTTCGGTGCAACGTTGACCTTTTAAAGATTATCCAGCTTGGCCTTACATTCACGAATGAGAAGGGGGAGTATCCGTCTGGAATCAACACCTGGCAGTTTAACTTCAAATTCAACCTTACGTAAGTGTCGGAGACACTTCTCAGTTATTCTCAGACCTGTGACACTTGTACAGACTCCAGTTGCTAACTGATTAATTAGCTTGAAGTTCTGTTTCTTTCCACTGACCTTAGGGATGTGGTGGCACCATCAAGCAGAAGATAGGGTTGGGGTGGGCGGGGTCTCAGGAATTAAAGCCTCCCTTAAGAACACTTCACAAACTCAACAGTTAAAAGCAAGTCATCGAGAGAAAAATGGACAGACAAATGTTTCCCCAGAGAAGAGAACCACATGGCCAATCAGCGCATAGAAAGCTGCTCCGGGTCGGCAGTGAGCCAGGCAGTGCAGCGCCACACAGGGAGGCACCACTTCCACCAAGCCGATGGCCTCGTGAAAATGGAGAAACGAGAACGTGGAGCAGTGCTGATGGGAATATAAAATGGGACAGCCACTTTTGGAAGAAAAAAAAAAAAGGTAGCTCTTCACAACGTTCACCCTAGAGTCACCATGTGACCTACGCAGAAGCCAGCAATTCTGCTCCTAGGCAAGCACACTAGAGGAATGACACACCCGCTCCGCACACAAGTACTCTTACTTCAGATAACCAAAAGTAGACGTGTCCCAACGTCTGAACTGGGAAATGGGCACACGAGAAGTACCGATAACATACTACCACACGTGACGCTTTAGAAAACGGTGTCCTGAATGAGTACAGAGCCCCACCTGGTGTGTTGTTCCAGCAATACAGAATGTCCAGAGAGGTTGAGAGTAGATGAATGGTTCCCTAGAACGGGGCATGCGCACGACCGGGCAGTGTTTGCTTCTGTCGTGCAAGGGTCACCAGGAGGTTGGGGTGGGGTTTGCAGGGACTTGTGACTCAACTGCTTACTAAGGATGGGGTATCTTTGTGTGGTGATGAAATTGTTTTAAGACTGTTAGTGATCATTGCACAGGTCTGAATATACTAAATCATGCACACTTTAAACTGCATATGAGTTATGTTTCAATAAGCTATTAAAAAAATCTGTTTCAGATGGTAGATCAAGGTTTGAATATCAGGTTTCCTTTTCCTACCATAGTAATTTGAGTCTGCCATTTCCCTTTCTGCAATGCAGTGTCCTTATCTGTCAAAGAAAGCTGTTCTACTAATCATAATAGAAATAAGTGGGTGCTAATCAAAGGTAGTTGAATTTCTGGCGTTTTCAATAGAGTACAAATTATGGTGTAATTTCTTTTCCTTTTTTTTCAAAGATCATTTTATTGGGGGCTCTTACAATCCATATATCTGGTGTAAGTTTTTAAGAAGGGAATTTGTGGGGAGAATTATCATTTTGCTGATTATAAAATGTGAATGTAGTGGGCTCAGTTCTTGTTTACCTTGTATACCTCTTTGTTTACCTGGGCATCATGATCATCTGATAGCTCAGAAATAACTTTTAATGTCCACATGGTGTATATGGTGATGATATTATTGGCTGCCACTTCTGTTATGGTGTCCTCAGCTAATAAATGAATACCTTGCTTTGTAGAGAGGATATGTATTCCCAGGACTCCATAGATCTCCTGGCTAACTCAGGACTGCAGTTCCAGAAACACGAAGAGGAAGGGATTGACACGTTGCACTTCGCGGAGCTGCTTATGACGTCAGGGGTGGTGCTCTGTGACAATGTCAAGTGGCTCTCATTTCACAGGTCAGTCCCAGAGAATGTTCTCTCCCGCCTGCTCTGGGCCGTACTGGAGCAGGGGATTCCTCGCTGGTTTGGTGCGAGCCCACTGCTGACCAGGCGGGGTTTCTAAGTGAAATGGCGACTGCTATTCAAATTTGGCATGCATGCTTAGGTCTTTCACATTATCCAGGTCTGTTAGCGGGCTGTCGCGTCGGGGTATTCAAGGGAAAGATGGCGGTGGAGGCAGTGGTGGAATTGGCTCTTTTTCCTTCCTTTTATGGGGCTGCCCAGAGCTTTTCCAAGTACTCCAAAGCCAGATTCCCTCTGAACGAAACTGCTGCCATCGAGGCGGTGCTGACTGGTGACACTCACTACAGGGCAGTGTAGGACTGCTCCCTAGGGTTTCCGGGGCTGTAAATCTCCGTGAGAGCAGAAGCTGCTGCTATTGAGTCTGTTGCCCCCCATAGGGACCCTGTGCACAGTTTTGAAAGCTCTAAGTCTGGGAGCAGATTGCCGCAATCTCATCAGTAGAGTGACTGGTGGATTTGAACCTCCAGCTTTGTGGTTAGTAGTCCAGAGCTTACCCGGCAGTGCCACCAGGGTGCCTTGGATTTCTCGTGGGAGATGTTTCTTTCCTTTTAAGTACTTTTGAATTTTGTGGGTTTTTTTTTTCCCCATTAAAATTTTAAAATTTTGTTGATTTTTGAGAATATATACAAGAAGCCTGCACGACTTCAGCAGTTTCTTTCTTTCTTTTTTTTAAACATTTTATTAGGGGCTCATACAACTGTTATCGCAATACATACACACATCAATTGTGTAAAGCGCATTTGTACATCAGTCTCAAAACATTTTCTCTCCACTTAAACCCCCGACAGTAGGTCCTCATTTTTCCCCTCCCTTCCCGCTCCCCCCTCCCTCATGAGCCCTTGATAGTTTATAAATTGGTATTTTGTCATATCTTGCCCTGTCCGACGTCTCCCTTCACCCACTTTTCGGTTGTCTGTCCCCCAGGGAGGAGGTCACATATAGTTCCTTGTAATCGGTTCCCTAGCAGTTTCTTCATGTACAATTTAGGGACATTGATTATATTCTTTGAGGTCTGTGACCATTCTTGCCCCCCCCCCCTTTTCTTTTTTTATTTCTTTTAATCATTTTATTGGTGGCTCATACAACTTATCATAATCCATACATACATCAGTTGTGTAAAGCAATTTGTACATTCGTTGCCCTCATCATTCTCAAAACATTTGCTTTCCACTTAAGCCCTTGGCATCAGCTCCTCATTTCCCCCCCCCTTTTTAAGTCGTCCCTACCTCATGAACTAAACTAAGGTTCCTTCTTTCTACGTTTTTTAGTTTCTGTTCATCACTTTGAACCTGTATGGACAGTTCTTAAAAGAGCATGCAGACTCTGTTGACTAGTTAAGCTAAATTATTGTTTGGTTATAAGAAGACTCCAGGGCAGAATTTTGGCTTAAGGTTTAAAAATCATGTTAGGGCAGTAGTTACAGGGATTCATCCACCCTCTATGGCTCAAGAAAGCCTGGAGCTGCTGAGAATTTGAAATTCTGTTGTGCCTTTCCTCCTGTTTTTAGAGATAATTTTATTTTTTCCAACAGTTTTATTGGCATATTATACAATTCAATAGTTGAATCACATCAAGATGAGTTGTACAATCATCACTACAATCAGTTTTGGAATATTTTCTCTTTTTTTAATTAGAATTCTTTTTTACTAAAAAAATTGTTTTATTAAATCATTTTATTGGGGGCTCTTACAGGTCTTATCATAACCCATACGTACATCCATTGTGTCTATCACATTTGTACATCTGTTGCCATCATCATTTTCAAGGCATTTTCTTTCTACTTGAGCCTTTGATATCAGCTCCTCATTTTTCCCTCCCTCCATCCTTACCTCATGAACCCTTGAGGGTTAAATTATTATTATTTTCATATCTTATAGTCCTCTGTCTACCTTTGCCCACTTTTCTGTTGGTCGTCCCCCTGGGGGGTTACATGTCGATCATTGTGATCGGTTCCCCCTTCTCTCCCACGTCCTCCTTTTTCATGAGGCTTCGCCTCTGGCAGCTGTTTAGTAAGGATAGTAAGCACTAGCCAGTTCTCCTGCCCTCAGACTTTGGAATTCTTGGTAAATAAAACATTTATATAGAGCCTAATGTTCTTTTTCATATCTCTCACAGTAATCTATTGAGACATGGAAACTGCAGATTACAGTAGAGTAAGCTGCTTTGAAAATGAAGCTGTGAAAATCCATAATCTGTTAGACCTGGATCACTAGAGAAACAAACCTACTAACACTCATATATGTGTAAGAAAGACTTTTATATCAAGAAGTAATTATATATCAAGAAAAGATCCCAGCCCACAGACCTGGCTAGACCAGATGATGCACAGCGGTACAGAAGGGAATTGGAAATGCAGGAATCTAGGACAGATGAACCTCTCAGGACCAGGGGTGACAGTGGCGATACCAGGAGGGAAAGGGGGTGTAGAAAGGGGGAATGGATCACAGGGAGCTACGTATAACCTCCTCTCTGGGGGACGGGCAGCAGAGGTGTGGGTGAAGGGAGACGCCGGACAGTGTAATATAAGATACAATAATAATTTATAAATTATTAAGGGTGCATGGGGGAGAGGGGAGGAGGAAGGGAAGGGGAGGGGGAAAAAACGGAAAATGAGTGGATTCCGGGAACCCAAGAGGCAAGTGAATTTTGGGAATAATGAGGGCAACAAATGTATAGATGTGCTTTACACAATTGATCTATGTATTGTGATGAATTGTATGAGCCCCAATAAATTGATTTAAAACAAACAAACAAAAAAGATCCCAGCCCAGTCCAACTCGAGTCTGTAAGTCCCTCTTCAGACTCGCGCGGCCATGTGCAGTGACGCAGGAAGGAGGACCACCGCAGGCGGCCGTGTACATAGCCTGTGGGCCTGAAGTTGGCGGGAGCATGGAAGGCCTCCTGCGGCTCCAGGTCAGCAAGCAGGAAGACCAAGGCAGAGAAGGCAGAGAGCCGGGGAAGGAGGTTCCCAGCCCCTCCTCATGAAAAGGTCATGTCCACCAAGAGGCATCATTAGGCTATAACCTGACTGAGCGTTTGAATACCACGCCTACACTTTCATACATTTTTAAGTATGACGACCGCACATGAACCTGAGGCATTGTGAGACCGAGTGCTTTAGGGGTACCCTGGCATTTAACCTCAGTGCCGCATTCTCTCCTTGTAGTGGCTATGACTTTGGCTACATGGTAAAGCTGCTAACGGATTCTCGTTTGCCAGAAGAGGAACATGAATTCTTTCATATACTGAACCTTTTCTTCCCCTCCATTTATGATGTCAAGTACCTGATGAAGAGTTGCAAAAATCTTAAGGTACACACGGTTTTTCCTAAGTAACTTAAAATGAGAGAAAAACAAAACAACAGCCTATCTTATCATGTGTCACTGTTGGTGCAGCGGCGTTTTCTAGTGCCAGTGCAGTGAGGCATGGGCATGGGGCTGGCTGGCCCAGGCTTTTGTGCGGCAACTCGCAGGGGAGGCATTCACCTGAGGCTCGTAAACCTGGTGAAAGTGTGGGCAATTCTTCAGGGATGGGTTCTTTATCCTAGAGTTTCACTCGCTGCTGTGCACTCGATGCCAACTCACAGTGAACCCGTAGGACAAGGTAGAACTGCCCCTCTCAGTTTCCGAGATGGTAACTCTACTGCAGTAGAAAGCCTGGTATTTCTCCCTCAGAGCAGCTGGTGGTTTCGAATGGTAGATCCTGTGCTAAGCAGCCCAACTTGTAACCACTAAGCCACCAGGGCTCCTACCTAGAGAGCTTAAGAACCCATTATTCCAATCATTGTCGCTGTTGACGGCTGAAGTTGGCTGTGTAGAATTTGATTGGTTTTTACTTTTTCCTCAATCTTGCTGTACAGCAGTTTGGACTTTGCGGGACAGAGGTCTGGCAAAGAGAAAAGGACGGAGCAGAATGTGGACTGTACATATGTAACATTGGGGAGGGGGGAGAGGAAGGAGTTAGGGGCTAGAAAGTGGGTACTGCTGGGTTAAGGAAATTGCCTGTTTCCACTTCCTGCCACGCAAAGAAGTGCGCTCAAGAATGGGCGCCTGAGCCCCAGCGAGGGTGCGGATTCTCTGCTGTGACGGTTCCCCATTCACCTCCAGGGCGGCCTTCAGGAAGTTGCAGATCAGTTGGATTTGCAGAGGATTGGAAGGCAGCACCAGGCAGGCTCCGACTCGCTCCTGACCGGGATGGCCTTTTTCAGGATGAAAGAGGTAGGTAAGCTCAAGGAACGCGGAGACACTGTCTGCAGCAAGGAGCAGAGGCTGGGGGCTCTCTGGGCTGGAGGAAGTTTGTGGAAAACTGATCATTTCTCCTGGAATTTGATGGACACCCTGAGAAAGGTTTATCTATCAGTCTTTTCCTCTTTGCTGTGAGATCCAGATAGAGGAATACTGTTTGAGAGGCAAAGGAAACCTAAAGAAGCTACTGGGCAGACCAGGTCTGGAGCTGGGTTCAGGGTTCACAGTTCACAGTGGCTCTGAACCTTTCTGTTCTTTCCCGTCCTGCTGTCTTTAGCAGGAACACATTTGTTGGTGTTTGGTAATTCGCAAATTCTATATCGCATTTCCTACAACTCATTCAGGACAGGACTGCATGTCTTTGTAGTTGCCCTACGCCCCCACCCGGTGTTTGAACAAGCACTTGGCGAGGAAGAGCGTGAGAAACTGCTTTTAGAAAAAGCACAGCTCCCTGAAGAGGCGGAGCTCCTTCTCAGGGCCGAGAAGCTGGCCCCGTGCTACACGTTCTCCGTGTGACTGACCTTTAACCCAGGAGTCACCCAGCTGCCTGCCGCCAGAGGCCGGGTTCTCAGCCAGCCAGTCCCAGCTGTGTGGAGACCTGCTTAGTTGCATTCCTGGGTGGGCGGGGGTGCTGTTGGTGAAGGTTGTGGCTAAAAGTCCTCTCCTACACCGGACAGGCCCTGCCGGCAAGGGGTGGTGCAGGGGTGAAAGTGCCCTGCTCTGAGGGCTCCCTCCATGCCCACAAGCTCAGTCCTCGCCACAGCCGTAGCCCAGCGCGATCCCATTTTATAGGGAGGGAGCCATGGTCTACAGAGCTGAAGGTCACACCAGGAGTTCGTCTGCGTCTGAAGCCTAAGCCCTGAACCATTGCTGCCCCTTACAGAGAAGAAGGGAGGAGACGCAGGTGCCCAGGGGTCCTGACAGTGAAAGCACCCCTGGAAAGCTCCTGAGGGTACTGCCAGGAGAGCCTGAGCGGAGGGAATGTTTGGAAGTTAATTTCTGGGTTGCCAGATTCAGGCCTCCAAGAGCTGCGAGGTGCTGATGTGGTATTGTCTAAAACCGTGCATTTAAGACGTTGCGTTTTGGCGTGGTTTTCACTGCAGGTTCTCTGTCTTTTGCAGTTATTTTTTGAGGACAGTATTGATGATGCCAAGTACTGTGGGCGCCTCTACGGCCTGGGCACGGGCGTGGTCCAGAAGCAGAACGAGGATGTGGACTCTGCCCAGGAGAAGATGAGCATCCTGGCGCTCATCAACAATTTGCAGCAGTGATGGCAGCGAGGCTCTGCGGGCCGGCCTGGCGCCGGCGTGGTGCTGACTGCGCTGACCAGTCGGTGCGCAATTGTCTCCTCCCTGAGAGAAAACGCTTCTCTTGAGCGAACTGTACCTTCCGTCTGCGTTGAGCAGAAAGACTTCTGTTTTACTGAAGACAAGAGGTGTCTTTGAAACCCAGAAGAGGGGCGTTTGCTCTGAATTTGTCAACAAGTCTTCCCAATTCCTCATCCCCAAGCCTCTCTCCAGTTGCCTCCTGCCACCAGCATCCATGGCTCATATGACACCTTTTTAAATATCCAGGACCAGTTGAAACAAACTAGTAAAATGTATATAACTCTTACCTGTTGTCATTCTTTTCTTTTGCCAATGTGTTGCTAATCTCTGAGGATGAAGACACCTGACTGTGATTCTCAGCTGAGCTGAGGGCATCCTGGGAAGCTGGAACCGAAGGGCATTCTTAGGAAGTGGGTGATGGATGTCCAGTCTCTTCCTCTTAAAAAAAATCTCTCTCTCTATATATATACATATACATATCTACATCTATACATGTATATATAGCATGTTTCTGACCCTCTCAAAGACGTTTGCTTTCCTCACACTTTGGTAGTCTGCTTTTATATGCTGTCATGTGGAAATGAATTGCTCTGTGCTGAAATTTGAAGACCAGATAATGAAAACTTCCCTTGCAAGCAAACTGAATCTGTCTACTGATCGCGGGAAACTTCACAATAGGTATCAAGGTGCCACCTATGTGTCTTTGAAGTCTGTGTTTTGATGTGCCACAGATCGGCAGTTGTGTGCACCATCTGAAATCTTTTAAGTTTTCCTGTAATGAGCTAACCGGGATTTGATCCTGGAGGAAATGACTAAGATCATGTTTGGATCATGAGTCTCTCATATTTCCAGTCACGTGATTTCTCACGGTCATCTGTATTCTCCCACCTCCATTTCCTCTGCTTTTCTTTCAGTGAACTTGAGGAAAAGTTGGGGAGATGGGTTCTTGTGAGTACCAGAAATGTGAGTCTTTTAAAAAGAATTTGCAGTTCCTTGTCAACAGTACAGTGAAAGAAGCAGTCTTTGGTTCTAGAATACTTTTGGAGGCGTATCCCACAGTTGCGGGAGGAAGCTCAGGACATGGGATGTTTTGTTTTTGAAAGCCAGTTGTTTGAGAAATAAAGTGGCTCCTGAATGACTAGAGGATGGAGAATTCCACAACCACCAAACCCCCTGCAGAGCGGTGCGGGTAGGGACGGGAGCTCACGGAAGTCGATGCTAGGCTGGCATTTTAACAACTCACAGGAAGCTCAATTTGAAATGATTTGAAAATGTCAAGTATTATTATAAGCTGGTATTTAAGATGCCTGTAAATATTATTTATGTTTTTAATTTTGTAAAATAAAGATTTTTTTTTTAACTGCTGGCATGAAGCTTGTTTTTTCATCACTACGAATTGCTTGCTCTGGTGTAGTTATTGGGGCTCCAGTGACATCCTCCACTGTCCACAGGTTGGCTGTCTGTCGTAGGTTTTTCATGAGCTCACTAGAAATGGGACGGAATGGAAGTACTTCCACTTAATATTCCCTACTAACCATGAGGCCTTGCTAGGAAACCACTTTAACGTTACTTCCTGGGTGGGTGGGGGTCACTTTTGGCCAGGATTTGATGGTTAATTAGTGACACTCTTGTAGGCCAATTGAATTGACATCATCTACTTGGCTAAAGACTGTTTTGAGCCCCTTCTATTGGCTCAGAAAATGAAAGGTTTTAAGTCAGGTGCAAAAGCAGATGTGAGGGTATTTTTTTTTTCCTTACCATTTTATTGGCACTTAATCCACATCACACAGTAGTTAAGTCATATCAAGAAGAGTTGTATAATCATTACCACAATACATTTTAGAACATTTCTCCACCCACCATGGTTGTCATGTTTAAAATGAGTTGTACAATCAGTTCTAGTGTGCCCCCCCCCACATCCTTTGTTTGCTCTCCCAACCCCCACCTTCCCTATAAAGCTAGTTATTTGAAAGGGAAACTCTGATTTTGAATGACTACAGGATGGATAATTCCACACTGGAGGACCCAACAGAAGCAGTAGCAAATACCAATAATGCAGAGAAAAATACCAGTAGTAAGAAAGACCACTGTGAATAGTTAAAAAGGCCAGGGGAGAAATTTTTGTCATTGACCAGTCAAGAGGGAAATCAACTGACAAATATCAAGTTCCATCCTGTAAAATCATGACTACAGTGATCCATGTCTGATAGTAGAGCTGTTGGAGCCCCTTGCCTGTGCCTAGGGATCTGTCAGTGGCCTAATCAGGCTAGATACTCTGCAGATGGGTTTTGGGCTCCCACGTCCACCATAGCCGCCTATAAAATAGATGTCAGGTTGTGGCTGGGATGGTTACATATAGGGATGGAAGACATTCTTCATGAGGCTAGTGATGGAAGCCACAGAGGCGAGCAGCTCAGGGGCTCTGGCCTGCTAGTGACCGAGTCTCCCAAGTACCCTTCCAGATTTAGGTCAAATGGGGAGTGAATCTTCACTGTTAATTGAGAACAGACAGTACCTGACATGTCAGGAGAAGTGTTATGGTGGAAGGTTGTGGGACTCGGTGAGGGAGTCCAGGAGCAGGGGAGAAGTAAGAACTTACTGCCTGGCTGAGGAAAGAACCCAACCCCCCAGCTACTTGTCGGGCCATGTAAGAACAGGTAGCGGACACCCACGTTCACTGTAGTGCTTCGTTCACTTCGTTCGTCCAAAGGTGGAAAGACACCTAACTGCTGCTCAGTGGGTGAATGGATACAAGTGGCCACAGTTGTCTGTACAATGGACTAGTCGGCCATGAACCTAGATGTTGTGGATGGAGCTTGAAGATAAATGAGTAAACTGGTAGTCACAAAAGGATAAATATGTGATTTCACAAGCAGACAAGGACCGGCAAGTGTATAGAAACCAAATTTATTTCCTGTTTGCCAGGGATATAGCAGGAGGGGTGTGTGTGTGTGAGTACTTAGAATCACTGAATGCAGGTTTACAGTGATGAAAAGTTGCATCAGTTAAGGGGGAAGTTTTGCATTAATTAATTGCATTAATTAATGCAATCTATGTAAAAGATAGTACACTTGTAAAAAGTTGCATTAGCAAATGATACACATTTACAACCAAGAGAGCAGCTGCTGAGACTGCTTTTGAGGGTGAGGGTCATGGTGTCCTGGAATAGCCCAGTTAGTTGGCCTGTTACAGTGTGGAGTGCACCTGTTCTACCCCCGAGTTCCTGGCCTAGTGCTTGGGGTTGTAAAGCCTGCAAATGTACATTCAAGGTAAGACCACTGGTCTTCATTTGTCCATGGAATGACAGCAAAGATTTTCAGGAACAGGAGGAAATGGAATGCACTTACTTCAACAACCGCCTCCTTTACCATGGACCAGAACTGGATGGTGCCCTGCTACTTCCTGAATATTTTGGTAAAAGATTCTACAGATCAAAAAGGCAGCGCAAAAAAAAAAAAAAAAAAGCAGTGCAGAGCAGAATTTTAAATTCTCATGGAATCCAAAAATCCATTGAAGTTAAATGAAACCCTGAAACTCTTGTCCTGAGGCAATGTTTAATTCTGAGAATATGCCCTGAAGTCTTTAAACCAAACAATGCCTAAATTCCAAACCACTGCTACGGATTCTAACTCACGGCCACCTAAAAGGGCTTTGCTTACTGCAAATCTCCCCAGGAACAGCTAGCTTCGATGTTCTCCCCTGCAACTGCTAGTGGGTTTGAACCTCCAACTTTGGGGTTACCAGTCCTACACTTAATGTACAGTGCCACTCTATGCCCTTAACCAAACGAAGTTAACTTCATGGGCAAAGAATGTGTGCCCTGAGCACTGGGCTCTAATAGTTGACAATAGCAACTTGAAAGGACAGTGGCTAGTGAGTTGACGTTGAGGAGGGACAACTGGTGAACATGGCCAAACAAAGCACGCACCGTGTTCAGACTATACAAATTGCTGAATTGCTGTTATGTTCTCCTGTGCATATTCCCACTCACCAATTTTACTAACTGGCAAAAAAGTGAAACACACAGCTCTATTAGAACTGGCAAGACCTTTTTGCCTTGTGTGTGCGTGCACATACGGCTGAGTGAAGGGCCCTTGCTGGTCCAGTGGGTCAAGTGCTGGGCTATGACGGAAAGATGGGCAGTGTGAACTCCCCCGTGGTGCTGGCACAGAAAGACCTGGCAATCTGCTCCCGTGAAGATTAGTGTCGTAAACTCGATCAGGCAGTTGTACTCAGTTCCAGGTGCCCTGACCCAAGCCTTGGCACTTTCAATCGCCTCATACGTACGTGAAAGCGGGGCACTGAATAAGGTAGACTGAAGAACTGATGCTATCACACAACTCAATAGTTCAGTCGCTTCAAGAGTTGTACACTCATCACTACAACCAGTTTTAGAACACTGTCTCGTGTGCTTTGGGCATGTTGTCAGGAGAAGCCAGTCCCGGGAGAAAGACATCATGCTTGGCAAAGTAGCAGGGCATCAAAAACAGGAAACCCTCAACACAATGGACTGGCACAGTTGCTGTATCCATGGGATCAAACATACCAGCTGTGAGGATGGCACAGGACTGGGCAGTGTTTCATGCTGTTGTACATCGGGCCATGAGTCGGAACAGACTCGACAGCACGGAACAACATGTAGTTAGAAGACAAGTCAGAATTGACTCAATAGAACACGATGCTACCAGGACCCCAATTCTGCCTTGCAGACCTGGTTAGACCAGAGGATGCACAGCGGTACAGATGGGAATTGGAAACGCACGGAATCTAGGACAGATGAACCCCTCAGGGTTTCGGGGAGGAGACAAGCCAGTCAGGGTGTGATGTAGCAACATTGAAAAATACAACTTTCCTCTAGTTCCTAAATGCTTCCTCTCCTCCCCACCCCACTATCATGACCCCAATTCTACCTTGCAAGTCTGGCTAGACCAGAGGATGTACACTGGGACAGATAGGAACTGGAAACAGGGAATCCAGGGTGGATGATCCCTTCAGGACCAGTGGTGTGAATGGCGATACTGGGAGGGTAGGCTGGAAAGGGGGAACCGGTTACAAGGGTCTACATGTGACCTTCTCCCTGGGGGAAGGACAACAGAAAATTGGGTGATGGGAGACGTCAGACAGGGCAAGATATGACAAAATAATTTATAAATTATCAAGGGCGCATGAGGAAGGAGGGAGCGGGGAGGGAAGGGAAAAAAATGAGGACTTGATGCCAGGGGCTTAAGTGGAGAGCAAATGTTTTGAGAATGATGAGGGCAATGTATGGACTGTGTTAAGAGCTGTATGAGACGCTAATAAAACGATGAAAAAAAAATCATCCCAACAAGAGGAGCCTTACTGTCATAGAAAGGAAGGAAAAGGCACGTCAAGGAAGTAGGGGTCTACTAGCAAAGTGAGGTCCAATCAGAGGTCAGTATCGTATCGACAGGGACAGAAGAGGGGGTCTTGCTCTGCCTGCTAAGGGGATGAACAAGAGGGCCTCATGAAATGTTACGAACAGGGGACTTTGTGAACATTGGCTTGGAAAACACCTTAACCTTAAAGTCAGGCCCTAGTGAAAATCCGGACACAGGATTGTACTCGGAGCTAATCCTGAAACAGCTGATGTACGACTACACAGAGCAAACCCTGGGACATTCTGAGACCTTCTGGCCAAGAGCAGCAGCCCCGATAAAACAGAAATGATTCATGGGAATCAAGGACAGGCTGAGTAACTGGTTAGAACATGGCTTGATCATCTGCAGAGCGGCAACTTGCTCCCATTTGAAAGTGCCATTTAAGAACTAGAAGCATTCCCTTAGACTAGGTCCCCTCTCACCTCACGAGGGGAACCTGCTTCGTCTCCAGAGCGAAGTGTATTTTACCTATGCTTAAGATGGACCCCTCCCTTTGTTTATTCCTTTTGCAATGACTCTATGCTTTAACTAAACTGCAGCTTCAGGAAAAAGGAAAAAAAAGAAAAGAATTCGTTCTAATGACACCACTCTACGTGATAGTGGACACCATATAGAGATTCCTGAGGATATGGCGCTATAGCAAAGTGTGACAAAGAAACTCGATGGGGCTGTGCCAGGAAGAAGTTCCTGTGTCTTAGAGGCTTGTCTTCAAATATGTAGCTAAGTGAGGTGTCAACAAGTTTACATGAAAAACAAAACCCAAACCACACCAGCCTGTGTGCTCAAGGACTGTAATAAGATCCAAATCGGAAGGAAAGAACGGCATCAGAACTTAATTGTGAGCACATGGTTTGCAGAAGGCTATGGATGAGCGTGAGCCCAGAACCCACTTGCAGGGTCCCCCAAGGGTGAAGCCTCCGGCGCATCCCCTCTGAACACAGTCCGGGGATGTGAGAGCCTTGCTGCCAGAAAGGGAGCACTGTGAAGTCCATGATGGCAGAGGCAGTGAGCTTAAAACGTAACACCTTGTCATTTGATCTCCCTTCAGACACATTTTAAAACGATTTTTGGGGGAGAATTTTAGACTGTTTTTTAAGACTTTTCCAACAGATAGAAAAAACGGGTGAGGTGTGTGAGGTTCTTGAAGCCACCTGAGGGTTTTTGTTTGCTTCTTTTCTGGTTTCTGCAGCACCAGGAGCCATGAGTAGCAGTCTCTTGTGACACCCTCGATGAGGCAGTGTGGCAAGTCCTTCCCAACATGATCGCTGAAGACAAAGCAAGTGCATAAGCAAATGTGGTGAAGAAAGCTGATGGTGCCCGGCTTTAGGATATAGTCAGGGGGCCTTAAAGGCTTGAAGACAAACAAGCGGCCATCTCCTAGATGGCCGTGATCTCAACAGCCAGGTCCACGTGCAGCGCGGGCAGACGGCAGGAGCAAACTGTTTTTAATATTTTCTGGCTTTTAAAAATTGAGATCATTTTGATTGAGATTTTCGTTTCGTCACTGTTGAGTTTTCTTATGCGTGTTTTGTAGGATTTTCTGCACATGAATCCAGAATAGGTAAATCTTGAGATAGTAACTGGATTAATGATTAGCGAGGGACATGGCAGGGGACGCTGGGGAGAAATGGAGAGCTAGTTAGCAACAGGTACACAAATAATATGATTAAATTGTACAATATGTGAATTATTAAAAGATTACCAAGTGTAAGTCAGTCCCTCCAGACTCTGCCATTTAAAAGTTCTCACCCAGTCAGGTCCGACACTAAGCACATGTTTAGCTGTCAGCTAGTGCTGACATGGATGAGCTGTTGAGATCCTTGAAGTATAAATTATTAATAAAAATTATGTATCTCAATTTGCTAGTTTATTCAGTCAAAATCCTTGAGTATTTTCCTTTAGGTGCTAGGGACTGAAACAGCACATCAGACACCATCTCTACCCTTGTGGCGTTTACAATGTGTTGCTAGGCAGTGAAGAATTCTGATGAAGACACTGCTGTCTCTGGGGTTGAGGTTCAAGGGGTCTTTTCAGAGAAAGAACACAGAGGCTGTGAGCTAAGGGATACATGAACATGAGCGAGTCAGGCAGAAGAAATGTGTGCCCAGACTGAGGTGAAGAGAACTGGTGGGCGCAGCAGCCTTGACCTATAAAGGGCTTTGATCTTTAAACACGGGTCAGTGTCCAGAGCAGGCTGAGAGCAAAGGTAGAGCCGGGTGGAGGGGGCTGTAAACTACACCAAGATTTTAGTTGTTTTTCCCTGAGAGCAATGGGAAACTAGGAAGTTTAAGGCAGGGCATTAGCAATCTGATTTGTAATTTAAAGCAGCCCCTGCCTGTGGCAGAGACGAAACAGCGTCCGACTGTGGTGGGAGCTCAACGAGGTGATCTGGGCAACAGAGGATGGTGGTTTGGCCCATGCAGGTCAAGGAGCGAGAGGTTACAGATAAAGGTATACTTTGGGTAGAAGAGAAAGCACCAAAAAGGATTCTTGAATTTCTGCGTTACTCTAGTCACTTGGCAGCGTGGGTCAATTCCTCAGAGCTCCCCAGTTCTGGTTTTACGGTGACTGGGGAGAAACCAATGAGAATCGTTCCTTCACATTAGAATTGCTTGAATAAACGATTCGGTATCGGAAAAAAGCGCGCTTATGAAGAATTAAAAACGGTGCCATTTCTGTTATTATTATGGTGTTGGACAGTTGTACTGGTAGTATTTCTTGTTTTTCTCAAAGCAGGTAAGGCGAAGGGTCCGGGCCCTGGTAATGGCCTCCGCAAAGCGCCCAGGCGGAAAGAGAAGAGCACTCACAGGGTCTGTTTAATCAGGCAGCTCTGTGCTCAACCACACGGGAATGTGGCCCCACCACCATGCTCTGCAGGTGACCTGGTCATTTTAACACAGGCAGAAATGGTACCCAGTTCTCCGCTCGGTCCTGCCCCTTTACCAACTCAGAAGATTCTCCAACCTCTAGGTCAGTGGTTTTCCACCTTCCTCATGCCGTGACCCTTTAATACCGATCCTCTTGTTGTGGTGACCCCCAACCATAAAATTATTTTCATTGCTACTTCATAACTGTCATTTTGCTACTGTTATGAATTGGTCGATCCCAGTGAAAGGGTTGTTCAACCACCAAAGAGGCCGTGACCCCCAGGTTGAGAACCGGTGCCCTAGTCCAGTGCTGCATATCTTCTTGCAACCCGTTCCCTGGGTGGAGAACTAGGGAGCTAAATTCTAGAATATCACTATTTTAGAGCTTTCAAAATTCAACAGCTAGCTCTAAATTAAAACCAATCAACCAGTACCTTAGAATTTTGAATCCTGCCTTTTAAACCTTTTATTTCCTAGAGAGAGCGCTTGATAATAAAATTTATTCTTGTTGTCCTAAGCCACACCAATCCTCATAAAAAATAAAAAAATCAAAAAAATCAACTAAGCACCCAAGCAGAAAAGCTGTCACACACACAAAACATAGTTCAGTTATTGAGAAGGAACAGCCCTCTCCTACTCATCTGATTTTACATTCTAGCAACTGTAACAATATGGAAACATCTGTTCCTGACATTGTTGAATGGCTTCAATAACCAAAGGGGGGGGGAGGGGGAAGAGCAGGTATTTATGATTAAATGATTTTACAGGTTCATTAAACTAAAGTTGAAGTCCAGTGTTCCAACAATATGCAAAATTAGGAACATAACATTTTTCTTCAAAGCGGTCCTGTGACTTTACTCTCATTCTCCAACAGCCCTGTGAACCTAGAAAAAGGAAGAGAGCCAATGACAAGGACTTTCTTCCTGAGCTCTTGGATCACCACCAATCACTCCCTATAAAACAGCAAGATCACAGTCAAGTACATCACCTGTTCTTCTAAAGCTTTAGTGAGTGATTTGTCCAAAGAAACAATTACATAAAATGAAAAAACAAAACAAAACAAAACAAAAAACACACACATTTTAGACCTAAAGTTCAAAAAGAGGGGTTGGTAAGTAGTCAAAATGATGGGTAAGGTCAATCTCCTATCACTGAAAGGGCAGACGGGGAAGACCCAGGTTAACAAAACACACACAACTTGACTATTCTCTACCAACAAAGACTTGTTTACGGTTGGGGAGAGTATTTATAAAGGTAGCTAGCTGTGTCTAAGAAGATAACACTTTGGGTGATTAAAAACATTTCTCCTTTTTAGGAGAAACCTGCTTAAGGCCTTACAAATGACCAACACCCCCCTGGCCAGGTGCTTTTCGGAGTAAAAGGAATGCCGGCTTCCCAGGCTCCTTCCTCCAGTGGGAAACCGAATTGGGTCCCAAGGACCCAGCGTGATAACCAAAGTCAGACGCCCTGGCATCTGAGGCTAGCATTGATCCCAACCGGAGCCTCGTGGTTTGGAGTCACTGGAACAGGACCCAGGGCCAGAGTTACAAATGCTGGGCGAGGTATGGACGCAGAGCTGCAAGGCATTACATGTTGCGAATGTGGCCATTTCTCAGAGGTCCTTGAATGTTCACGTGCAGGCCCGGCAGTATCTTTTGTAAACCTCAGCCTTGCCGTATTTCTGAAGAAGTTCTTGGGCCTGTTGCTTCATCTCTGGGGCCACACAGCCAGGATGCTGGGTGTCAATGTGATGCAGGACGACGCAGCACTCCAGCACATCTGGGAAGGGCCAGGCCTGAAAGATGATACTCCAGTGAGGAGAACAGGCGCGGGGAGAAAGCCCCGGCACCAAGACTCCAGCCACAGACACGTCCCAGCACAGCACCCTTCCTTGAACCTCTTCACATCAACTCAGAAAATGCGGCTGCTCTTATGGTTAGGACCACATCTAAACATACTTTTCGGGCAGTAGCCTATCAGATGATATCATGCCAATTTTAGTTTTACTTCTAACCACACAACTACAAAATTTATTTGGTTTTTCTGAGGTCTGTAATTGCTTGTGTGGCCAATCACTGTCACAAAATATTTGCGCTAACCAAAGGAAACTGCAGCTTAAACTGTTCAACACATGAATGTGTAGGGTTCAGCCACTGATCCATGTGGACGACCGCAAGAATTTGGTATAGTTAGCGCGTCCTACAAAAGTAGTTTGACTAGATGAACGGGTGTCAATCTTACCTTAATGCTCTCAGGAAACTGAGCCATCCTCTCATTTGCCTCTGTCAGTCTTTTAGTTAGTTCAGGCAGAGAAACGGGTTTGGTTTCGTCTTCTTTACTACTAATAAAACGACAGTATAAGAAGTCATATTTCGCGTCCCACGCAATGTTGATTATTAGCCCACAACCTAAGTTCCTTACTCACAGGATTCTTTCTTTTAATCTTTAAATACAAAGGTCCAGAGAACATAACTTAATGTACTGTGACATAAAACAATTTTCAAAATGCAAAATGACTGTCTACTAGCAGGGGACTTGAAAAAAGTTCTGGGAAAAGTGGTACAAAAAAGAGAATGGGTTTTTTTCCCAAGGTCTTTTTCAAGGCCAGTCCCAAGACTCTCAGGGGCCTCTGAGCAGAGGTGGTTCTCCTGAGGGACAGCTAGACAGAGCTGGGCGCCGGCAACTGCATGGACGGACGTTTTTCTGGGCAGGGTGTCCTGGGTTAGGCAATTCTTTAGTTTTTATTACAGAAACCAAATATAAAACATGGAACATGGTAGCTTAAGTTGCTTACGTCTCTGGTTCATGATTTCAACGGTGTATTTTTAGGGGACTAAAATCAGGGGGTTCAAGTCTAATTTTTTTTTTTAAGTTAGTGGTAGCAGCCTTAAGTTTATGGCTTGTCTGTTCTCGTCCCTGTGCTGAGGAACATATCTGAGGTAAAAGGCAATCAGCACAAAAAACAAAACCCGAACCCACTGACATCGAGTTGATTTCGATGGGACCTCCCAGGACGTGAACTGCCCCCTCCGTCTTTCTCCTGAGCAGCGGCTGCTGGGTTGGAACGCGCTCCTGGTGATGAGCAGTGGTCTAATGTTTACCCCATTGAGCCATCTGTGGTCCATTGCCATGACAGGGAATGGCCCAGTAAGGGTAACCCACTGTAAAGCCACACAGCCTAGTGCTCAGTGAGAGCAAATGCCACCCGCAGTGACGGGTCACTGGCTCCTGCCTCTCTGGCATTCAGATCTTGAGGGGTCTTCTCAGGATGCAATTGTGGAATATTACCCTTCCCACCCATTGGCCTTCTGTGATAGGATGAATTCTGTACTACAGAACAATCAAGAAGCAGAATTCCTGAAATAACCGAGGTACGAGTTGGTACCCCGTGTTACAGATGAGGACACTATGAAGACCTTGCAGGAGGTCACGTAGCAGGGCCAGGATCAGAACGGGGCCGACTCCCAAGTCCATGTCTTCATTACTGCATTATCCCATTTCCAAATGACCGGGTTCCTATCACCATGCACCTATCTTTCCCCAGTGACACGACAATGCTGCTCGGTGCTTTCAATTCCATCTTGCATCTGACTTGATACTTACCTCTGGCCCTGAGGACCAGAGAGGGGGTTTTCTGCCTTCTGCGCAGACTCACTGGAGTCAGGACCGTTCACGGTGGGCTTACAGAGCTGACTCTTCTGGTGCTGGCGGATCATTTCCGCCAAGGTCTCCTGGACTTCAGCGACGGTTCTCTGCGAGCTCTGGAGACTGGCACGTTGTTCTGATACGAGCTCCCGACAAGTGCCCAGCACCCGCTCACTCTCTTCTGTGAGTTTCAAGCCCAGCGCGGGGGGCCGACTTAGCTCTGGCTGACCGGAAGCCCTGGGTTCGGCCTCCTCAGGGCTGGCATCATCCACCTGCAGGCTGCACTCAACCACTTTCCTACTGTGATCCACACTGACCCAGACACTGGGCTCGGAGTAAGGCCTGGAGAGAGACCACCAGAACTCATACAGCCGTCCATAAGCCAAAAAGGCCTCCAAGCTTGCGAAAGCTGCCATGCCTGGGGAATGAGGGTCACCCAGTTTCGCTCTCAGAGGGTCACAGCCTAGGAGAAAAGGAGTTGGGGTTGTGAGACCTCTTTTAAGGAACTTTTGCAACCCCACCCCCCCCATGATCTGTAGGAACACGTGCCTTCCAACAAAGGCAACTGAGCTCATGTTTCCTGATTTGGGACAAAGCCCACCCCAAGAATAAGGTGACCAGATGTCCCGCTTTTAGCGGGACAGTCCCGATTTTTAACAATTTTTCCCGCGTCCTGCGGCAGTTTAAAAAAGTCCCTATGGGTGAAGGGAGACGTCGGACAGAGCAAGATATGACAAAATACCAATTTATATACTATCAAGGGCTCGTGGGGGGAGAGGGGGATGAGGACCTAATGTCGGGGGTTTAAATGGAGAGAAAATGTTTTGAGAATGATGTACAAATGCGCTTTACACAATTGATGTATGGATTGCGGTAACAGTTGTATGAGCCCCTAATAAAATGTTAAAAAAAAAAAAAAAGTCCCTATTTTTGGAAAGAATGCACGACAAGCTAGGGTCAACGGTTTTCGGCTGCCATGTGGCTATTTTGCCAGGATATGAGTTTTATCAATGGTGTCCCACTTTACCAATGTTAAAATCTGGTCACCTTACCCAAGAAGCATCCCTTTGGACCAAAGGCTCTGGGCCATAATGGCTGAGGCACTGTGTCTAACCCTGCAGCCCACGGGATTTTGCGGTGTTGCTCCATTCATTGGAATCCTGGCTGATGTAAACAGGTAAAGCACTCAGCAGCTAATGAAAGGGCTGGAAGTTCAAGTTTACCCAGAAGTGCCCTGGAAGAAAGGTCTAGTAATCTCTTTCTGAACGATTAGCCACTGAAAGCCTTTGGAGCACAGCTCTACTCTGACACACACGGAGCCCACGGACTTCCTCAGCGACTGAGGGGTCTCTGATTCGTGACGTCACTCTGCCTCGGATGGTGACTTTGCCATGTGTGGAGAACAGCTCAGCTATCCTGACGGCCGCAGAGCTTTCTATTCACGTGACCTAGCTGGCCGGCCCGTCTCTTCAGCTCTTCTCTCACCCATGGGCAGGCCCTGGGCCAAGGTGGCAGGCATTTACCCTCAGGAAGAAAGGCCGAGTACAGTTCCTGCATGATGGCGAAGTTTCCCGACTCGTAGCTCCGGAGTACTGCCCGCAGCAGTGCCTTCACTGCCTCCTCCCAGGAAGCCACCTGCTGGCTCAGCACCGCCAAGGTCAAGTCGTGGCTAACTTGGAGCAGGAGCTGGAGGAGAAGCGTCTCAGTTAAACATTGCCCCCAGGCAGGGAGGGCAGCAGCAGGCTCCCACTGGGAGCACTCTAAGAAAGGCCTGCCACCTGCTTTCACTTCCCCACCAGAAGCCCCAAGTCCCAGCTAGCTGCGCCCGAGCACGCGCCACCTGGTGGCAAACTCTGCAGCCCAGAAGGCACCTTGCCATTTTGCATTGGGGGAAAACAAAAAGCAAGCACCTGAAAGTTCTAGAAAAGCTCTCATTCTCCTTCTTTAAAAATGAGGGTATGATTAATTTTCAGCGTACAATTTGATGAGGTTGTCTGGGCCTGCCTTACTCTCTTCTGAAATGCTGGCCAGCAACCTGCTTGTTCCCTAGACATTAGCCGTGACTGACTCCTGTGGTACAGGGACAGCTGGGTACCTGTTTGGAGGGTGTGTTGTTCGTAGCAGATGGGTACTTGATACTCTGCAGCTTCTGAAATACCGCCTGATACTGCTCGGGAGTGTCCAGGCCAAAGGCGCTCCTCCACACGGCAGCTACTCTCTCTGAGAAGGGCCCTTTGGGCTCAGTGGTCCAAGCATGGTAGAGAGAGGAGCTTGTAGACTCGAAAAGCTGCCTTTCCTCCAGGTGTTTGGACAGTAGCTCAAGAAGGCAAAACACTAGTCTCTGACCCTGGAGAGGAGAGAAACTGTTACATGAGAATAGGCCTTAGTCCAGGAGAACTTCAATCACATACAGGCCACCAAAGACCTGTGGTCCAGCTGTGGGTGGGGAAAGACGGGCTCATCAGATTTTTCCTGCCTGTGTCTGTCTGCTGCAGTCTCGGGAATACATGGTAGAGTGCAGGGGCCGAAGAGCTGTAGAAGGCAGGCGGTGGGGCTCTGAGAGCTGGGGCAGGCCTGCTGGACATGTCCAAGGTGATTACAGAGGAGTTAGTGGAGGAGAACAGAGGCAGAGTAAAGGCCTGGAAACACCTTCCTCGCTAGACTTGTCAGTTGGCATGTGCTTTCTCAGCTAAGTTTCAGAGGGTCCCTGTTCCTCAGAGGCAAGAGTCCTGATCAGAACCATGTTCAATAAAGGTTAAATTTTTGTTTTTATTAATAATGCTGTTTAAGCAAAAGAGTGAACTGCTAATAATCATTCTGGAAACTTTGGAGGTTGAGTGCAGGGATGTGAATAAATTCTTCTGGGTCTGATGATTCTGTAAACAACACAGAGCCACGCGACCTTTCTGGGTTTTCCTGTTGTTGCTGCCCTTTTATTTGTAGTTCCCAGAAAGCTGCCTCGCCGGCTAGCTCTTTCCCTGAGCCGTGAACACTCAGCTAGGAACCGACTGGAGGCCTAGGTATTCTGCTAGAGACAGAAGAGCTTTAAAGTTCAAGCCAGAGCACCACCATCTAAAATGGACCCAACGTTTTAGAAAGGGAAGTGGGCGTGGCGACTTTGCAGGCGCTGACGGGAGATGCATTTTTAGCAGGGTGGGAATCAAGCCGCATGGAGAATTCCTTCATGCTCCTTCACACCTTCGAGCTGAAGAGCACGCCGCAAGCAGAACACCAGGCTGCTGACGCCAGTGAGGAGGAAACACTCAATTACCAACCCTGGGCTGGGCAGGCTGGAGTCTGTTCACAGACCAGTCAGCAATGGGGAACGCCGCGGACAAGCCACTGTCCTTCAGAGGCAGAACTGACCAGCGCACCAGGGAGGACACCTGCTAACATGTGGAATCCAACGGGAACAGGACTCAGGCCAGGAGCCGAACTGCTGGACTGACCTTTAGACTTTCGTGGAGCTGCAGGGCTTCTTGGGCTCCCACCCAGTTCCTGGCCAGAAGCAGCTCTTGGGCACATCTGAGGGCCAGTGAGGCCGACAACTCCTCTTCTCCGACGATGGCAGCCAGCTCAGCAGCTGTTCTAAGGGAGGCTGCATCTCCCTTTTTGGCCAAAACTTTGGCTGCATCATAAGTACAAGCGGCCCCTAAATAGCTACAAGACAAAGAAATAGCTACGATCAAGACAAGTTAATGGCATTTCATAAACAGGGCTTATTACGTGACAGATGCTTTCTGAAAATCTAAACAGAGAAAAACTAGGATCTGTTCTGCCTTGTGGGCCTTCCTGTGGTCCCAGAGTCTCCCCGCTGGCTTCAGTCAAGGCTGAAGCTGGCAAGCTCACCAGAGAGAGAGAGAGAGAGAGACTCAAGCATTACCCGAGTGGGAGACATAATGGAGCCTATGCTGAATTGAAGTACAGCGGGGGTGTAATTACTTCCCATTTCTTTTAACTGATAATATCAAGGCTTTCACTGATTCTTCCCAATCTCGTCATGGTTGATGAAGCAAAAGACCTGAATTTATAAAATGTGGGTGTACCAGCCCAAAAACTGAAACAGAAAATATTACGGGTCATCACACTGCTAGAAACAATCTCCCTGTTAGAAACCAACAGCAGTACTGTACGTACTCGAGTATAAGCCGACCGCATGTCAGCCGAGGCACCTGATTTTACCACAAAAACGGTATACAAAATGTGCCCCAAACCTCAGCTTATACACAAGTATATGCAGCACGCATGTTGTGCAGCAAGTGAGTCTCTTGGAGGGTAGAATGAGAAGCAACAGTGGCCGACTTAAAGATGGTGGCTGATACTTGCTTTGAACATGTGTTGCAACTTTCCACAAAGTAATAACCCATCTCCGGCACCATCAGGCTCCAAGAAGGGCTTATAGTACCTCTTCCAAGTCTCCCATTGCAAGGCTTTGACTCCTAATTCTTCCTGCTCCTGGAACACGCCCACCCACATATTACGAATTCCCATCTATCCGGATGTTGTTGCTTTAGCCATGACTGAACTGGCTGGAAGCCTGGATCTTAGTCTGTTACTCACGTTTCCAGAGGGGTTCTGGTGACTTAGGTAAGTACTAGTGGGCTAGATCCTTGGTCCTAAGAAAGAATGCTTTCAGAATCTTCTAGTCACTGGATGTCCATATTCCAGTATAATGCTTTTATTCTTGTCCTGTTTTCTTAGTGTGGTGGTTATGCAATGGGCTGTGAGCCCCAAAATGGGCCGTTCAAAACCACCAGGCCCTCCTCGGGAGAGAGCTGGGGCTTTCTACTCCTGGCAAAGAGCTAGACAGTCTCAGAGGCCCACAGGGGCGCTTCTACCCTGTCACACAGGCTTGCCGTGAGTCAGATTTGACTCAAAGGCAGTCCGTTTGGTTGTGGTTTGCTTGGTAGCTTCTGGGCAGGAGCTCTTTTCCTCGGGCTTACCACTTGGCAGCCATGGCATAATGGCCATCTTTTTCCAGGACGGCCCCCCAGCTCAGGTACAGGTCCTTCAGGATTGGGTCTTCTGGGCGCAGCCGGGCTTTGGCAATGGCAATAGCTTCCCTAGAGGTAAGAGGAGATATTAACCAAAATTTAGGACTAGCTGTCCCATTTGTGCTGTATCATTCTAACTTCCAGTAAAAGACTTATTCCTTCATGACAGGGGCCATTTGAAAAGGCTGCGTGCGCTTGATTCCAAACTGGGGTCAGCAGTTCTTCAAAAGGTGGTCTAGTTCCTCTAGGGCTCTAAGGTCAAAACTATTTCCACAATAAAACTGAGGTTATCTGCCCATTACGTTAACACTTGCACTCATCGAACACTGGGATCTTAGCAAGAAAGAAAAGGCGAACGCTCTGGCCAGAGCAGCTAATAACGCATCAGTTTTATGAAGTCCCGTGAGTACGTGGGACCTCAGGAGACAGGGTTGCCTGCCTCTGGGAAAAATGCAAATGACTAAATCTGAGCTGAACTAGTGGCTGGTTTTTCATGAAATCTCATTTCTGCTCCCAAGAAGGCCCAACTTCAGGCTCAAATCATTAATCAGACTCGGGTATGTGGCAGGTGTTTTCTGAAAATCTAAATAGAGCAAGACTAGCACTTTACGGAAGGCAACCAACAGGATTTGTGGCCAACGGTAACATTTGTGCATTTAGGCCAAACTAGAATTCTGGATAAACACGGGCCAGCCACTGGGGCCCTGGCAGCGTCATAGGTTGTTACCACCCTCGTCCCACTGTGAGCGCCACACACAGACCTGTAGAAATGGTTGGCCTTGAGAAGCTCCACAGCTTCATACACTTTGTGGATGGAAAGCAGGTGGGAGGCAGCCTTGACATACTGATCCTGAAAACACAGCTGTTTGGCAAAAGCTTCCACGGCCCACAGCCACACGTGGTAGCCAGCTTTAAGAAAAAAAAAACCAAACGAACAACTAGATAAGTGAAGGAAGAGAAAAAGCAAGCAGGTATACCTGAACTGGGAAAGCTTGATTTTCAGAGCCGCTGCATGAAGAACATTTTGATACTAATTCAATTGCCATTAAGATCATGTGTCCCTGCCTGGTACCATCTGACATTCTGAAAGGTAAATGTTTTACTTTCTCACACATCCAAAATGGCACCAAAAGACGGCCACCAGGAGTGTGGTTACTCTTAGTAGGTGAGGAGAGAGCGTGGCTGTGCCCGAGATGAGTCCCTGCTGCCAGGAATGTAATGCTGCTATTACATGGATGCTGGCTGTAAGAACAAGTATTCCAGCTATAAAATCCAGGGTAGTCTCATCAGGCAGTCTCCTCTCCCATAGTATGCCTGAGCAAAAATCTATAAAGCAGCACAGAACTGAGCATGGCAGAAAAAATGGCTTCCTTGTTATCCTGGTACCACCTGGTATCCCTAAATCCTTTCCAGAGCCAACCATCACGACTAGTTTCTTTGGGAGTGTATGGACTACTTTGTGTCTATACCTTGATTGCTTTCACTTACTGTAACTGGCAGCTTTGTGCCATGTGAGCACACAGAGCTGCCACATGCTTTGGCACCTGCAGAGGTTTCTAGGGCATGGATGCTTTAAGCAGACCCTTAGTGATGGACTGGCTCTGGTCCTGTTGCTACTACAAACACTGCTGCCATCAATGCCCATGTAGATCTGCTCTCAGCATGTGCGCAGTTAAATTCCAACCGAGGGAACTGCCAAGTCAGAGGACACATGCATTTTAAATTTCAGTAGACATGGCCAAACTGTCCCACCGAGTTTTCACCAATTACAATCTTGCTAATAATGTGTGTCAGTGACCGGCGTTTTGTAGGGAATTGGGGTGGTGGTGATCGGCCTACTGTTGTGGAACAAAGCTAATTCTGCACCATAATTGTCCCCGTAGGTAATTTTGAGCTCAAGACACGTACTGCCAGGAGTCGGCTTTAGCAGCTTACTCTGACAAGAACATACCGACTGGTGCCATGGCCACAAGACTGTCTGTCAGCTCCCCTCTCTCTGCCGCCGTCTGGAGAACGCCCTTCAGGTCTCCTTTCCAAAGCATGAGCTGGTGAAATAACTCAGGGTGGCCATTTTCCAAGTGACCTTTCCCTGTTCAGAGGAGAGAGGAGAGCCAGAAGATGCTTCAGTTGATTTCAGAAGGTTTCAAAATGAACGAGAAAAGAAGGAACTCCTTGTAGAAGCAGTCACTTACTGATGGCGAAGCCACCAACCGGAGGAGTCACGAAGCCCAGTCACTCAGTCCGACCACTGCATGCATAGGCTGCCCACCAGAAGCAAGGGCTCTTTGTGAGCCAGGGGACTCAATTTTAGTTTGTCAACAAGTAAAAGTAGCCATTGCAACCCACAGGCTGGCAGTTATGAAAGCACAAGCGTCGTTGCTGTTACTGGCGACTGCCATTGAGTCACGTGCAACTGTGGGACCTGTATGTTATTAGAGCAGCACTGTGCTCCACAGGGACGATGCTCTGGCTGCAGTTAATGGAGAGGATCACTGACCTTTTCCTCCAAATAGCCTCACCGGTGGCTTAGCTGTCAGTACACACTGCTTGCAGCGCCCCGCCCAGGCACCAGTACAAAGGGTCAGGGGAGCATGCAGATGGAAGGGCTTGTTGACTCGCGTTCCCTCACCTTCGAGCTCCATCATCTTGTACAGGGTGGCCCTGTTGGTGAAAAGCCCCAGGTGATAGCGACCCTCAAGGGCAGCAGCCACGTCCTCATGCAGCTCTGTTCATTTAGAAAGACAAAAAGCACAGCTAAACGGAATGCATACAGAGGTCCCACGTTTCTGTCCAATGATTTCCGAACTGATGTCTCAAACACCCACTTCAGTGACAGAGGCAGCACAACAGGAAGGCAGAGCCCATCGCAGCAGCCCGGGCAAAAGCCAATGACACCAACTAGTTTCTGGTTTGCTCAAAGAAGGGCATGGGGGTGGGGTGAAATTCTAAAAGCCAATGCAAGATTCCGTTTAAGAAATGTACACGTGACTTAATTATTTAAATAAGGTTAAAACAGCAAGAAGCCAAAAAAAAAAAAAATCCAGACAAAACAAAAAGCCCTACTAAGCAAAGGCAGCTCTCGAACATTCACTGGAACCTCACAGAAAGGGACGCAATAGCCATTCTGTTTTTGTTTTTTTTTTTTTCCAAATCAACTGATTTTCCAATAAGGGGAATCAGGTAAACATGTGAAGTTGATTATATAAATCATAGAAAGCTATCACCAAGTTAAAAAAGAGAGCCTGCTAATTCCATCTTCGCACACGTCTTGAAGCTGACTCGCATGAAAACATTCGGTGTCTCTGGAGGTAGGCACGAAACTGACGGCAGCGAGGCCTCCGGAGACGTGAGTGTTGTGGGAGGAAGAGAGCGGTGCGCGTTCTCGCTCGAAGCATTTATAAGTCAGAATTTCATTTGATCACATGTCTCCTTTTTCAACATGTAAAATTAAGTAAAACGATCCTATCTGCTCATACCAATGTAATTGACAGTAATGACACGCGGGCCTTGAAAAACACAAACTCAATTCAACTCTCCACAAAGAAAACTTCTTCGAGAACTTTTTTTAAGGAATTGTCATGTGGGCAGATTCCTCCCTCAAAAGCAAATGATTTTCCTCGGGCTGTTCAATGGAACAAAACAGTAGAAACACCAAATCGTGCAGAGAGGGTCAGCCAACACCCCAGTCCTGACACATCGCTGGCTGGAGACCACCAGATGGAAAACAAGAAGGCTGGGACCGTGAGTCAGACCCTGGAGTGTGCAGTGGGGCACAGGGTGGGAGAAGCACAGAAAATACCGAAGGACAGACCATAATAACCTGGGACATTCTCTCCTCCCCTCATTCATGGGCCAGTCTCTAGAAGACTGGAGTGTCAATAATGGATTTTTGTACCTTTGGAGTGTTTTGCAGTTGCTAATACCAAACAGTCCTGATGAAGCTCCTCTTTGGACTTGTGGTCCAAGCTGGTACTCAGTGGCAGCATGGAGCGTGCTTTTCTCTTCTTGAGCAAAGCTTCTGAAAAGAAATCAAACTGCAGGCAGTCTCACCCAAAGGGAGGGCTTACTGGGTGAGTATAATCTACGGAGTTTAGAGTCCCTAACCCAATAAAGAGCCACCCTCCCCCAAATACTACCAACCAAAGCAAGACTACACTTCAAGTGCTAGATAACAACAAAAAGGCCCCCAAAACCACACCACCCAAAAAACCCAGTTTCGAATTTTGAGTTCCAAGTACCAACTATCTTGGGGCACATTTAACAAAATACTTTTATTATTAAATACTAACCTGGTTTCTCTTTAGGCGATTCCTTTTTTGGCAATGTTATTTTGTTATTAATGATGGCTTTCGACCTTTCAAAGCCCAAGGAAGCTGGGGAGTAGACAACTGGTTCTGTAGACGCTGTCACGGGGGAGGGAGGAGAGCTGATATCAAGGAGTACGAGACAGAAGAAAATGCTCTGACACTGTGGGATGGTATACTGTCTGGTGTAGGCTTGGAAGAGAACCCCAAACACCGAAACCCACCAACAGTGCAGTGTCCAAGGCCTCAAAGATGCTGAGCTCGAGTTGAGCACACAGGCAGGTCAGAGCATTTCCTTGACTCCATCAAGAAGTCCTGGCATAAACACAGGTTCTGCCACTTACCTGCCGACTCAAGGCTGCAGGGCACCTTGGGCTCCCCGGCGTCGGCCTCCCCATCGGCGTCCGAAAATCCGTTCTCCACAGGTCCCGGACTCTCCTTCCTCATCTCTTCATTTCCGCTCGGAGCCTCCTGTTTCACCAGCACTCGTGTGGGGGGCTGCTTCTTCTTTTTGGGTTTTGCTTTAAGTTGAGTGAGTCTTTTTTTGTCTAGTTCAATGCTTTTTTTGCCTGTAGGAATGAGTTTTTTTTAAAAAAAGGGCAGACTAAAATTTACATTCTTGATCTACAAGGCTTTGAGGGACTGGAAGTCCCCAACACTGCATGGCTCTCCTTTCTGAAAGCACTCTTACCCTGCCCTCCTTCGCCAGCACATTTCAGAGTTAACAGCATCAGACGGCTGAATACACCTAACTCAACTTTCTGAGGTGTCTTTCGAATCCTCCCACCCTATTGTGGACACCACCAAGATTTCCCCCGAGATTTGGGGGAAACTTGGCAGCTGGTGTGCTCTGGCCTGGCTCTGGCGGGCTGAGCTGGACAGGATGGAGTGACTGGATGCCCCTGCAGGAATCCAGTGGGATGACAAGCTCTTGCTTCTTCCCACTCATGCAGACATTCAGCTGCTTACGCTAACACAGGCTCCTGGACTCCTATTTGAGGCTACGGCCCATTACTGTTACTTTAAAAAGTTCTGAACACTTGTGTCCTTTATTTCTAAATCTAATGTATTGATGTATAATACAGTAATCACACGTATTTTTAAACACGTTGATAAATGCTGACATACACGGAATAACCACCACAAACAAGATGGAATATGTGTGTCGCCTCCACAGTCCCTCGTGTCTCCTCGGAGTAAGGCGCTCCCTGCAATCACCCATCTGCTGTCAATGGCTTGGTTTTGTCTGTTCTAGAAGTTCATATAAATGGCAAAATGGAATTATGGAGGATGTAGTCGTTTTGTACTGGCTTCTTTTGCTCAGCAAATGGCGTCCTTTTTAAAGATTCACCATGCTGTGTCTGTCTGTATTTACTTGAACTGCAGAGCAGAATTCCACCGCAGGGACCTATCGCCATGTACTGAGTGACCTGAGAAAGGACAGCTGGGTTGGTTCCAGTGTTGGGCAATCACTGATACGGCTGCGATGAGCACCCTCCTGTACAAATCTTTACATGCCCTTCTTTGAGGCCATTCCTAGCTGATACTGTGTCAAGCTTTCTTATTGTTTACAGAGTGGATTAGTCTGTTACCATTTAATCTTTTATAGCCAAAATGGGTTCAGCTTCGCCCTCCCAATTCAAACTGTTCCATGTTTGGCTAATGGAGACCTGTGGAAGTTGGTTTCTCTGTCCTTTGAAACACCCACCTGGTTCTTTTTAAGAACCCAGTCAGTCAGGGTCGACCAGCAGGCCTTTTGACCCCAAGCAAGGAGGGCAGCTGGGAGGGGCCGGAGACCAAAGCAAGTGAGTCCTAGGTTCTGACTGACCTTGAGGCGGCCGGGAGTGGACCTGCATGGAGACGAGCCATTTATAAACGCAGAAATCATCTGCCCCGGAGTAGATACAGTCTGGATCCAAGGGGGACCAGGCCACACAGAGCAGGCGCCCGCGATGTCCTCGGAAATTGCACAGAGGCTCTTCTTGAAGAGTGTCCCACACCTAAAACCCAGGGCCACGTGACAGAACACAAACAGTCGGGTGATTCTTTGTTCTGGGATACAGGGTGTCGTTGGAGTCCTTTTTCAGAGGTCGATTTCAGGGGGCTGCTTTGCATGGGAAGCATGCTTGCTCAGGACAGCAGCGGCATTCCTAGGGGATGATTTGGAGTGCATGCTGTGCCCCAGGGATTTCAGTATTCAAACCAGTATTAAATGTTATTGGGGGCTGAGGGTTCGGGCACTAAGAAGAGACTACTCACTCAGCGCTGATGGGGTGCTCAGTTCTTTTCTGCCCCGTAATTCCTGGGCAGGTGATCCATGACCTGAATGTCTCTCCTCCCCACTTCAGAAGCAGCCTTCCAGAGACCCCAGACCGGTGCAGACACCTCCATCAACCCCACCCTCAGGTCCTGCCCCAGCTCCTCAGGTCTTTTCTGGTTTGGACAGCCCGAACTCTGGCTCTGCACTCTCCTCATGCTTTTGAACTCAGAGATCTCTGACTTACTAATGTAGCACTAGAGCTGTCTTTGCTATTTCTCATACAACACTTCTGTGTTTAAGTGAGAAGGGGGATTTCTCACATAAGTGTAGTCCACATACTGACAGCAAGTCAGAATGAAATTGGTAACGTTTTAAAAATCGATTTCATTATGAATTGCTATCAGTATGTGAAAGAAAACAAATGCCTTGCAGAGCGCAGCAATGTCCTTTCTGCAGAGGCTGCTGGGCAGGAGGTAAGAGGGAGGAAAACCAAGACGCCACATGGGGAAAACAGTCCAGAAAAGAACCCCAAAAGGCCCATGACCACGATACCTGGGCCGTTCCATCGTAGGAAGCAGACACCAGCCTTCCGTCATGGTGTGGGCTCCAAGCCAGGCTGGTAATCTTGCCCGTGTGCCCTGAGAGAGTCCGGTATGGCTCTGTGATGGTTATTGGTGACTCCAGATTGCCCTCTAAAGGGGAAGGGGAAGACGTCACTGCCAGCAGCAACCTAAAGAGACCTAGATGTTCATACTAGTGACACCAGGGCGGAGGGAGACTGTCCCAGGCTCTCGGGATGACTTAGCAGGCAAGACCGTCTCGTGGCTCAGAGTGTGGGCAGACCCACAGGCAATGGCAAGTCCAGGGAAGCCATCAGAGACCACCGACATGACAGTAATGCCTCTGGAAGCAACATCAAGAGGGACACAGCATCCTTTAACAAGGGACTGCTATCTCAAATAAGACTCTTCTCTCAAATACAAATGTAAATCAATAAATCAATATACTAACATACATTTTGGGGAGGGGTGGGGGAAGAAATGACATCGAAAGTTCATGGGAAAATTCCATTCTCTTTTAATTCCATTTTCCTACAAACTCTTTGAAGTCTCCTACATGTAGTAGCCTATATATAAGGTTATACTCGAAATTGGGGAAAAAAACATTGGGGTAATTACATAATTTTGTCAACTCGAAGATTTAAGTGTAGGGGCAGAGTCTGTCTAGCCTGTCAATCAGGTCACAGCCTGATGGTGCCTCCTTGTGGGCGTGGTCTTCTCATAAGGAGGGTACTGGGAACCTCCCCCTCTCTGCCTTCACCTTTCTGTTGAGAAGCCATGCTGAGACCTGCGTCAGGCCTGTGATGCCTCCACCGCATTGGATCCACAAGACTTTTCACCCAGTGGCCTGTGATCTTCCTGCATCATTACATGTGGCTGCGTGAGTCTGAAGAGGGACTTATGGACCAGTTTCAGACTTATGGACTTGTGTTGGACCGAGCTGGGACGTTTTCCTGATAGACAATTACTTCTTGTTATCAAGGTCTTTCTTACACATGAGTGTCACTGGACTTGTTTCTCTAGTCAACCCATTGTAACATTTACATGGAGCAAATCAAGAACATTGGTTATTCCTGAGAGATGGAACTTGAGGGTGGTGGAGTGGATACATCACTTTTTAAGTTAATAGTTTTAACTAAGTTAACATTTTTATCACACTTGAAGAAATTAAAAAATATATATGGTATCTTATTTTTGACAGTAGACAAATAACATTTCAATGCCCAAATAAAAAGGCACAGGTATCAGAATGGAACTAGCTGATACTGACATCCTCCTAAGTACGGGCAAACCCAAGTTACCTACGGCAGTCTTCAGGTGGTGCACATAAATGACAGCGCTGTTGGACCCCGAGGCCACCAGGTAGCTCAGGTCTGGCTGGCTGCCGTGCTCGTGGTGCCAGCTGATGGTGTTCACAAGCTTGTGATGCTGCTGGATGGTACAGATCAGTTTCAAGTTGGGGACCTGAAATATTTCTATTGATCTGCAGTAAGAAACACAAGCGAGATGGACCATAAAATCACAGACCATTGCAAATAATATCCTCTCACCCCACCAGTCCAGGCTGACTGGATGGGAACAAGACAAAGAACCCCCCTCTTCCTTGCCAAGGTCATTCTCTGATAAAGGCCTCTGTCCAAAGGGTCTTATCCCTCAAACAAGCACATCCAGCCTTTAAAAGTCCTAACCATCTCTGCAGAGTTGTGATCTTCAGGGACAGATTACAGTGAGGGGTGCCCTGCCTGATGTCACTAGTGCAGTGAGTCTGTCCACAACTCAGGGTGACCGCATGTGTTACAGGGTAGAACTGCTTCACTGCATTTCCTCAGCTGTCAGCTTGATGGGAGTGGGTTTGCCAGGCCTTTCTCCCATGGCCACTGAGTAAGTTGGAGCTGCCGTCTTTAGGTTAGCAGCCAGTCACCAACTGCATGTGCTACCCAGGCACCTTAGGATGAGGATTCTTTTTTTTTTTTAATGGAAAAAGGTTTTGGCAGGTCAGTGCTGGACAGCATTCTGTGAGGCTTAGACAGTCAGTCATGAAAAGGCAAACACAGCCAACACTCTCCGTGGACTGTGGAAAACACCCAGATAATTCTGTAGTTTTCAAAATGCAGTGTCTCGTGGATTACCAAGGATAAACCAGAAAATCAAATACAATTGGGCTTCCCCAACTAGCAAGGCAGATGGCAGTACCAGCTTGTGATCGAATTTACATGCAAGAACAAAGTTTTTTTAAATAAAGAAACAAACATACCCATCTTCGTTGCCAAGAGCCATGATTTTGCCATCTGCTTTCCAGCTGATCTCTGTGTGTACTGGCAACTTGTACTGGGAAGCAAAACAAACCAATCTCGAATATAAATATTGGTCTTCACGCCACAAATCTTCCTTATCTTACAATACAACGATGTGGATAGAACTGTCTCCCCTCAAAACACATACTGGAATCCTGTCTGAGTCATCTGGTGCTGCTGTAACAGAAGCACCACAAGAGGATGGCTTCAACAAGCACACCGAGTCTCTCTCAGCTGACGGCCCTCGAAGCCTGAATCTCCGTGCTACTTCTGGGGAGGGTCCCGGTCAGTCTCCCCTGGGCCTGGGAGTTTCTCAGGCAGGGACTCTGGGTCCAAAGGACCACTCCACCCTAGTTCCTTTTCCTTGGGCAAAGGAGGTCTCTCTGATCTCTGCTCTCTTGTTTAAGCTCTTTAATGTCTCAAAAGAGCTTGATGCAAGATACAATCTAATCCTGTAGATTTTAACCTGCCTCGTTAATATAACTGCCTCTAATCCTGCCTCAGTAACTTCATAGATTTCTAACATGTACAATTACATCAGGTCACAAAATGGGAGATAACCACAGAATACTGAGACTCACAGCCCTTGCATGTAGTCACATGTTCTGGGGACAGATTTAAATCCAGGGCATATCCCATCTATATGACTGTGCTCCCATGTGGAAATGGGATTTTCCTTGTTATGGTAATGAGGCTATATCAGTGTAAGGGGTGTCTTAAATCAATCCCTTTTGAGCTACAGGAAAGGGAAAGGAGGAAGAAAACAAGGACAACTGGGGAAGATATATAAATGCCATGGGCAGACCGTCAAGGAACAGAAGCTGAAGACATGAGGACCTTCCTCGAGAACCTGGCAAGCGTCTTCCTGGAGCGCCCGCCCACCCTCTGAATTCGATGGTCCACTACAGAACTGTGAGAGAACGCATTTCTACTCGCTAACGTCGCCCACTGGTGGTGGTTTTCATTATAGCAACGCTAGAGAAGGAGCCGGACAGCACCAGGAAAAAACATCCCTAAAGTTTAAAATGTTCTAATTATATAACAGCCATTCTTATAATCTACATAATCAGCCAAAGAACTGAACATAACCAGGGTTCTATTGCCTAATTGGAATAAAAAGGGGGCAGTCAAGCATTAATTGTCTACAATGTATAAAACCACGTGAAAGGCAGCACACTAAAATGAAACAGGCCAGTTGGCCTTGACAACGGGGGGTGCCTTGGTCTTTCAACAAGTTACACACCCACACTGGTACAGATAGGAACTGGAAACACAGGGAATCCAGGGCGGATGACCTTTCAGGACCAGTGGTGAGAATGGCGATACTGGGAGCGTAGAAGGAGCGTGGGTTGGAAAGGGGGAACCGATTACAAGGATCTACATGTGACCTCCTCCCTGGGG